GTATAAAGAAAATTGAGCTGTTATGTATTACTTATTAGCTATATATTAATACATTTCTACAGTCAGTGAAGGAACAAAGCTGCATATCAGGTGCACTGCTGTAGCTTTTTGGACACTTTGTCAATTTATCAGCTGAAAGTTGGCTTAGTGTGGCTAAGGTAGTTGAGTAAGAGATGATATGTACATTGACACACAACAAAACGCATTCAAACTTTCCTTTTTGAGAAACATATCGACTCATAAATCCATCCAACAAAACTTCTTTGTCAACTGCCTTACGTGAAAGTTTAAATCTAAATGTAACTAAGTACCAATGCTGATTTCTTTTCACCTACAGTTCATCAAAAGACTGTTTTTCTATCAACTTCTTTTGAAAAAGAATAAGAAATTAAAAAGAAATGTTTGCGTTTTCCGGAAAAATGTCAATTTTAAGGTTGCACAAGTTTCTAAATGTCGTGCAATTTAAAAGTGCATTGCAGAAAAGTTCTAGACTTACCTCTCATTTGTGCCATCTATCAATAAGTTTAGCTGTGTTTAGCCAAGTTCCTATTAACAATGTTAGCATGAAATTTGAGGACCTCAGGTTTTGGTGGTGGTGTAAAGAAAGCTGAGAAAAGAATTGTCAGATTTCCGTCTGTTTCACTTTTCAGCTGCAGTCTTTGACATGTGATAAACACGGTTCAAACTCACTAATCATCTCACCAAAGGCTTACTTATATTAAGGAGAATGTCGGAATCATTGTAACAGCTGGGCTTCATTAGTTCTTGATTGGACTGAGGGCCAGCTGCGGAAATGATGGGAGAAAAATATTTTAGCTGGCTGTTAGAAATTGGTTTGCAGTTTCCAAACACAAAGTATGACTTTTACATAATGCATGAGAAGTATTATAAATTGTTTCTGCTAAAAACACTTGTATTTTTGGATTTGAGCGAGCATATAAGTATGGTTAAGCTTATTTTTGTACAGTGTACTACAGAATGGTAAAGGGCATGGACATTTCATGTTTGGACTGATTAACAGAAAGTAATGACAACACAGTTTTTTTTTTTTAGAAACTACAATTTCTAATGTAAGGATTCAAAGGGTTTTGGACAATTAGTCAAATTAAGTTTTAAACAAAGATCAAATAACAGCAACAAAAAAATATATACTTACATGCATCTGCTTGATAGAAATTGTGGTTAAATGTGTAATTACTATAAGCTGAAAACAATGTCTTGCGAAGTTAGAATTAAATGTAAAAGTGACATGTTTGCATACATACATTTGAACACAATTAGGCACACGCCTTGAATGACTCGCATAATATGTTCTAATAAGGGTTTAATTGATGCCTGCTTCCAAACATAATGACAAGCTCAGTGGCAAAGCCAATTATGAGTAAATTTACTTTGGAGGAAATGTTTCTGTAGACTGGTATTACTGAAGGAAACTCTTTCTGGGCACAGCAAGACATCCTCATACTGCGCGTCTAAATGACACTATATGTTAAGCCAGCCCAGTATGATGTCTGACAGAACTTAGTATGTGTTATCTCACACATATCCACACATGCTGGCTCCATCAGTTAAATGCCTGGATACATTTAACTGAGCTAATTGAGGCTTTCTCCTCCGTTATCAGTGCTATGTCAACAGGAACACCGACAAAAGCAGTGAACTTCTTTGCAGTTGCAACTGAGAACTCCTGTCAGCAACACACAAGTAAAATGGAATACATTGTCAGTCATTGAGCATTTCAACAGCTTTTTTTCCCAGATTTCTTACCTTTAAAGCTCACTTTTTATCAAGCGAAACCTTAATAATTCACAGGGGCTATTCAAAAGAAAATGGAATGGATTTTCAGCAGGGAACTAGTGATCCATGTCAAATCTGTAATCTGTCATAAAGAAGATGAAAGTTTCGGTAAAGTTTGGCCACAAACTAGTGTCAAATTTGTGTCTTACACGCAGTTTTTTTTAATCTCATCCTACCTTCAGTCATGGCTGATGTTGGAAAACCTAAAATAATAATAATAATAATAATAATAATAATAATAATAATATCTTCAGTAACTTCATCCGAACCCCTTTTTAAACCTCCTAGTAATTCATTGTGAACAAGATGAGGTCCCAAATTCTACATGTATGAATAATTGTGTTCACTGTTATTCTTTTTATAGGTAGTTTTTGACATATCCTACCAAGGCTGTTTCGGACTGTTTTGCCATGATTTTACATTAATAGCTAGGCCTTTTAGGTGCAAGATAATTTATAAAGCATACATAGACTAGCTGAGGCCACATTAGTGCCCGGGCAAAGAGAGTTAGCTGCCTGGTGAATGTTAGGTCACATGCTTATACCGTTCTACTTATACTATGGTGAACATTAACTTGTTGTGTGACAGTGCTCCGTAATAAATAAGTAATTTGTTTCCACATGTGATGACAAAGCTTTAAAAAGGATGACCGGTGTCTGGCCTTTTCTCTATAGTGAAGAATACTTGTTATTCTGCAGCATCATACCTTTTTACGCTTTGTGACACTAATTTGAGTTGAGTGGTGAATAATTTAATTACTTCCATCGATATGGGTGGTTAGTTCTGCACTATAACCACAAATGTGACCATAGAGAGTGAAGTTTCCAAATGGCATGATCAGTTATGTGTTGTTGATCCGTTATCTACCATAATGAGGACAGTCATGAAATTGAATGTTTTGGAAGTTTGTTTTGAAATGGAAAAATAACTGCATAATTGCCATTTAGTTCAATGAAATGTCATAAGACAAGTCCTGCCGTAGAATCTATGAATATTGTTGCATAATCCTGATCCCACAGCTGTCTTTCTGTTGAAAAGAGGCTAAAAGTTGCAGGGAAACAGACGGCCTAGTTTTCACCAGCCTCTCTACATATGGCATCTCCTTTGGAACTACACTCTCACTTCGTTCATGACTTGTTTTGCCATGTCATGACTCTGGGGCATTAAGGTTCCAGTAGCTTTTGTTTCACTATAAACTGCAGGACATTCCACAGAGAGAGTCGGAGCATGCCCAGATACCAAGGAGAACACAGATGCAACATTTGCACTTCCTTTATGTCAAGGAGCTTTCTGTTGGGACGAGGAGACTGTCTTGTACGGAAAAGCTAAAGGGTCATGTCTCTTTGTTTGCCATCGAGTTTGAAGCGACCCGGATAAAATTAGCTCTTCAAATCCAAGGCCATGTTGAAATAGGGTGGAATACTCTTTCCAGGTTAAGTATGAGTCCCTGCCATAGAGAGAAGAGTTTCGGTTTCTGGGTGTCTTGTTCGCAGGTGATGACAGATTGGAGTGGGAGAAGGAGGGATAGATTGGGGCTTCATCAGCTCTAATGGGGCTGCTGCTGTGGTCTGTGAAGAGGGAGCTAAGCTTGAAGGCAAAGCATTTAATTTACTAGTCCATCTTTGTTCCAACCATTATCATTATGGGATCTGGGCTTTACAAACATTATCTGTGCCTGCCCTTCAGATGATTCCAATATTTCTGATAATAGGACAGCAAAGTTTTAAATGCTGTATGATGGTCAACTCGACCATCCGAAGATTATTATGTTAAAATATGTATTTCCAGATGCAACTTACAAAACACGCACCTTGATTTGGGCCTTGATCCTCAGGCTGTGCATTTTTAAACAACTTGCACTAGCCACTGAAAAGCCCATATCTGTGAACTGCCCCTATTAAATACTCAAAGATGTATTCTGACTAAGTGCTGTATGGTAATAGGTGTTTTAGCTGTTAAAGAACGTACTTTACTCATGGTGTTAATACAGCTGTTTACATTAAGGTGCAGATGATTGTAAAATGTATTTGACTCTGCGACTGTTTATCCGAGGTGCGCACCCTGTGAGGCTTGAAAAGTCCTCTTGGCTAAGCCCAAAATGTTATAAATTCCTAACAGTGCCTCTGTTGT